ATAGAAAAGTTTATGACCTAGCCCAAGGTCTCCTAGCTATTTAGTGACATTCAGAGTCAGGCAATCTAACTTGATAGCCGGCTGTGCTATTCTTCTCTGAAACTACAGCATAGAGAGCTACTACACATGACATCACCCATTGTTTCAGCTATAAAGCAGGTGGGAAGAACAAAACAAAACAAAACAACAAAACTGAATGAAAGCAAGAATCAGGAAATAAAAAATAAAAAATCAATCATCTATTTTCCAGTATCTTAAAAGTAGAATCTAGATTACATATGCAATAGTATTCCACAACCAACATGAAGAATAAATAAGAAGAGATAGAATTAAAAAAATAATAATAATAAATCTGGTTAAGAATTTATGAAACCTATATGTAGTCCTGGTGTGATGTTGTAGAATAAGCACTGGATGCCAACCATAAGGTCAACAGTTCAAACCCATCAACTGCCCCTCAGAAACCCTATACAGGGTTGATATGAGTAAGAATAAACTTGACAGCACTTAACAACAACATATCTGGAGTCCTAGTGTGGCACTGTAGAATTAGCAATCAATTGCTAACCACAAAATAGGTGGTTCAAACACACCAGCCACTCCTTGGATGCCCTTACAGGGTACCTATGAGTCAGAACTAACTTGATGGCAGTTAACAACATGAACATATATATGCATATAAGCACTAGATTTCAATGTCGATAGTTCAAACCCACCAGTAGCTCTGTTGGTATAGGTGAGGCTGTCTGCTTCCGTACATTATTTGCTATGAGTTGGAATCAACTCAATGGCAGTGATTTTGTGCCTTTCGTTTTGGTATATATGCAAAGGAAGGAATCCTTGTAGTGCTTTGGTTAATTGGCTGCTCACTGAAAAGTTGGTGGTTCAAATCTACCAGCCATTCCTCTGAATAAAGATTTACTGCCTTGGAAACTATTGGGAAGTTCTACTTTGTCCTACAGGGGTACAATGAGTCACAATAGACTAGAGGGCAATGAGTTTATACACCAAACCAATGTAAACGTAAATATTCATATCCATTCCTGATATATTTTTGGAAAAGTTGTCAGCATCTTTGTGTTGGGCAACCAGATAAATGATTTCTCAAAAATCTCAATTATAACCCTGGTGACAGAGATTTTCTACATTAACTAAACATTGTTTTAGCTCCTTCTGGTAGCGTAGTGGTTATGAATAAGGCTGCAAATTGCGAAAGTCAGCAATTCAAAACTACCAGCTGTCCCTCTGAAGAAAGATGAGGCTTTCTGCTCCCATAAAGATTTACAGCCTCGGAAACCCTGTACAGGGTCGCTATGAGTCAGAACCAACTCCAGGACACATAACCACCACAGGTACAAGACTAGAGACTACATATCCCAGAAATCCTTGCAATCAGAAGGAATCAGTTGATTGAGTCTGGTGGATAAACTATTTGAGGGGTGATTTTCTTCACTTTCACATGTAATATCTAAAAAAAAAAATCAAAAAAAAAAAAAATCATTAACATCCATCTTTCATCTGCTTGTGATTGCAAAGGATCCAGTGGTGGAGAACGATGGGAGAATAGGGGTTTGGGAGCAGGAACTGGTATCCTGAATGCCTACTCTGAGCAGAGTCCCTTGCCATTCACGTTGGATTGTTATGTAACTAAGAATTAAACTACTATTGTCTTAAAATGATAAGAATTGGGGGTTATTTATCATAGTATTTACTCTGTCTTAATT